TGGGTGCGCCCGAAAGCGCTGCGGCCGTCGTGGGATCGCACTGCGAAGGCGATCTGTGCCCGTCGGAGCTTGCTGGCTACCACTCGGGCGACTATCACGCCGAACTCTCGTCGTCGATGTGGGGCGCCGTCGCGCGCGTAGTCGGGCGGTCTAGTCGGGAATCCTTTCTCGCGGAGGTAGCGGAAGACGCAGCGCCAGAGGACGTCGAAGCAGCGGATGAGGCGTAGCCCCGCGGGCCCGCGGAGCATCTCGCCCTTGTCGAGTTGGAAGCTCTGGGACGTGTCGGCCTGCATGGGGACGCGGTTATGCTGTCGGGCGTGGGCCAGGCGCCCAATCAAACGCGATGTACCCAGTCGGTATTCGCGTGGTAGTTGGAACCTTTTCTTGGAGGGGTCCTCGGAGCCGTCAGGGGCGTTCAGCGCGCCTAGTCCTCCTTGGGGTCGCCCAGGGCGTCGGAGCATTTCAGGTCGTAAGGCCATCAGTAGGATCTCGGCGGGAACCGAAAAGGTAGGGGCGTACTTCCTGCGCTTGGCCTTGCTCAGCAGCTTGGTCACGGCCGCGAGCTCCTCGGTGGCCTCGGTGACGTAATTAAGCTGAAGTGGGGATGGGCGTGATGTGGTGTTGGTGGTGGTCGTGGCTGCCATGGGCGGTGTCGGTGGTGGTGACTCGGTCGTGGGCTCGTCGTCGTTGGCCTGGTCGTCGTGCTCTTGGTTTAACATGGTGTCAAAGTCGAGCTCAGCGCAGTTGAGGAGTGGGGCGTGGTCGGTGCTTGTCGTCGCGGTCGTAATAGGAGGGGCTGGCGCGGGCGCCGGGGGCCTCCCAGCTGTCGACGTGGTCGACGTGGGCTGCTCGCGCGAGGGCACAAGGTCCTCGCGCGTCGGGAGAGCGACGGGAGCAGGGATCGCCAGTAGTCCTCCTTCTGCGCCTGGCCGTTGGAGGAAGTGTCGCCGCTGGTCCATGATCGGGCGGGGGCTCGGGAGGATGCCGTAGAAGCGTTTGCGGGCCCGCAGCTTGTAGCGCAGCATGTTCCTGGTGGCGCGGTGGCGCTCGGCGAGGCGGCGCGTTCTCCAAGCTGGCCACAGTTCGTCGCGCTGACTTTCCTGGTACTTGTGATTAGTCTCCTTCATTTGGCGTCGGAGTTGCTTGCTCAGGTCGTGGATAGTGCCGTCGAGCTGTTGAAGTTGGTCTTCATCAGTTTCGGCTCGTTCGGCTTGTGCGTGCAGGCGTTGTCGCAGTAGGGCTCGTTCCTTAAGTAGCTGGAGTTTGCGGTCACGAGATTCACGGTACCAAGCTGGGCGTTGGTGGGCAACTGCGAAATGTTCGAGGGCGGCGTCGCGAAAGCATTGCATTGTGAGGCCCCAGTGGTATGTGCCGTCGTCGTAGGTGAGGTGCTCGTCCAGCAGGTCTGCATGGGTGCTGAGGTGACTCTCTACGCTTTCTAGGAATTCGATCCTCTTATAGCCCTCCTTCAATCCCAGTGCGATGGCGTCGCGGTCGAGGGTCTGGTAGGCGTTTGTGGGCGAATGGCATGCTCGTGGAGCCTCAAGCTTGATGATCAGCGGTTTGTGGTCTTTGAACTTTCGCGAGAGTTGAAGTGCATGTGCCGCATGGTTCCACACTCTGCACTGGGGGATGCGCGAGATGAGGCCCGTGGGGATGAAGATGTAGTCCGTGACCGACGAGTGGCGCCCGTTGTAGGTGGGGCCCGTGTCGCAGTACGTGTTCGCGGCTGCCATATGCGTGTTCACCAACATGTGGTGGTAGATCTTGCCTGCCTCTCCTTCTCTGCCCGTCGGGTAGGGGCCCGCCGTCTCGTCGCCATCGTGCCCTGCTGCGAATCGGTCGTTGAGGTCCATCTTCACGATCGGCGCGAAGGGACATGGCGTGTTCATGATCTCGAGCTTGGCCCACAGCCACCTCCATCATGACACCGCGCCACTGTGGTATCTTCTTGCGGTCCCACGGCGCGGGCGGCGAGTAAGCGGTGATGATCTACAGCTTCGTAATGCCTTCCTTGTTCAATTGTGACGGCTCCTCCTCGGCCGTGCAGTTCTGGCAGCGGTGTGATGATGTCTTTGACCTGCTTCTCTCTGAATCTGCGGCCGAGGAGGGCGCTGCAGCCCGCGGGGTTGCTCGCGTGCATGTTGGGGCGTCCATAGCCGAAGTGGATGGTCAGGTGGTACTCGTACCGCTGGACGTGGTGGGGGCTGTGCGGGTGCTTCGGGATCTTCGTGCCAGGGCATCCAGCGATCTGGATCTGTCGTAGCTGGGTGGGAACCTCCCCACCGCGGGCGCCCGTCAAGCTGAACGGGCTGAACACCGCGAGCGACAAGAAAGTGGCGCGTGCTGCGCCCATCAGGCGCCAGAGGGAGCACATCGGAGCGGCACTTCATGTGCGTGGGCAGGCATCCCGCGCCCGCACGGTGCCTCCACCAGCACCGCGGAAACCGCACGAGCCGAGAGGGGCTTGATATTCATATTTATATAAATACACACATATATATATATCCGCATATATACATGAAGGCAGGCAATGCTAACAAACAGCGTTTCAAGTCATTTATGTTTGAAGCAGTGCGCGAGCAGGGCCGCATACCCTGCAGACAGACTGGGGAGCCAGAAGAGTGGTTTTCAGGATGGGCGAATGTGGACATAAGGAGAATAATAATGGTAGGAGGAGGGGGGGAGAACACGACGGATACGGGTGAGAAGGACAAGGAGGAGGATGCGAAGAGATCAAGCGGGGGAGATTGAGGCGCGGTGTTTGTTTCGTTCTCCCACCCCACCGCACCGCCCAGCCCCTTCACCCCCTTCCCCTTCCTTTCCCCCCCTCGAGTCCCCTTCCCCCCTGTCCTACCCCCGATCCTCCCCCCCCCCCCCTTGACCCCCGAGACCCCTCCTTCTCCACTCGCCCCCACCGATCCTCCTCATCACGCCTCCTCTTCCCCCGTCGATCATCGGACCCCCCAACCTTTCCACCTGCATTCCCCCCCGCCCAATATGCCCCCCCCCTCTCGACCATCTCGACTTGTGATCCTCCTTCGACCTCCATCGACCCTCGATTCCAAGCCACCCCCCGCAAAATTACACGGCGACGTATCCGACCCATGCTCCACCAAGTGACGCAAGGAGTTTGCCCGAACTTGCCAGGACAATGACAGTGTGTGTGAGCATCGTTATATGTTGTGCAAGCTGTTTGAGGTTCGCCCACGTGGCACGATCTACATGAAAACAAGAAAAGGACGAGGAGACAAGGCCCAGGCTTGAGGAGGACATGGGGGCGGGAACGAAGGGCAGGACAAGGGCGCGCGGGGGGGCGAACCGTCAGCACGGCGGCAGCAAAAGTAAGGTGGCAGGGGGCAAAGGACGACGAAAGTGACGGGACGAGACCGAAAAGTGCATCTGTTGTCGGCAGTGCGCTAAAAATACAGCTTTGTTTGCGCCATGACGTTGGGCGCTCGACAACATGATTAAACCCGCTTATAGTTAGCAACATAAGCGAGCGAGGCCTAGCTCGACCGCCGGTTTTCCTGTTCCTGCACTTTTCAGCGCGGGCCTTAACACTGAAGGCGCGCCGCCAGGTCTGCGGGCGGCTCGCGACAGCGCCCCGCTGGACCCCCAGCAGCTTTCGAAAGTGGCGACTGTTTCGCAGATCGCGCCCCCCCTCCCCCCCCCATGGATGGCGAGGTCCAATCTGGGTTTGCGTGGTGCCTCGCTTTGCTGAGCCCCCCGACAAGCCTTCCAAAGTGGCGACTGGTTCGCAAATCGCGCCCCCCCCCCCCCCCCAGGGAGGGCGAGGTCAAACCCGAGTCTGCGTGGGACCCGTTCCGCTGGACCCCCCAGCAGCCCTCGGAAATTACGACAGTTTCGCAGGTCGCAGCCCCCCAAAGATGACGAGGTCTAGTTTGAGTCTGCGTGGGACCCCACTCCGCTGGACCCCCCAGCAGCCCTCGAAAGTGGCGGCAGTTTCGCAGATCGCAGCTCCCCGGGCCTGACGCGGTCTAATCTGAGTCTGCGTGGGTCCCCACTCCGTTGACCCCCCCAGCAGCCCTCGAAAGTGGCGGCAGTTTCGCAAACCGCAGCCCTCCAGAATTGACGAGGTCTAATATGAGTTTGCGTGGTTCCCACATCCGCTGACCCCTCCAGCAGCCCTCGAAAGTGGCGACAGTTTCGCAGGTCGCAGCCCCCTGGGATGGCAAGGTCTAGTCTGAGTTTGTCTGGTTCCCCAATCCGCTGACCCCCCCAACAGCCCTCGAAGGTGGCGACAGTTTCGCATATCGCAGCCCCCCAGAGATGACGAGGTCTAATCTGACTTTGCGTGGTTCCCCACTCCGTTGACCCCCCAGTAGCCCTCGAAAGTGGCGACAGTTTCGCAGATCGCAGCCCCCCAGGGATGGCCAGGTAGGAGGCACGCTGGCACGCAAGAAGGAGGAAGGCGAGGACAGGAGAGAAGGGGGGGGGGGCGGGAAGGGAGGAAGGGGAGCCGGGGGAAGGTGTGCGACAGCAGTGCTCTAGTCAACACGAATACCCAACCCACGAATACCCACTCCCCCCCCCATATCCCACCCTCCCCCCCAGCAACCTGCAATCCACCCTCGACCGTCCACCTTCCCTCGAACCCAAGTGGATTGGGGCTGAGAGTCAGAGATCGCCCTCCTCTGCAGGAGCACCACATGGGTGCAAGAGGGGTGCATCACAAGGGGGCACCACAAGGGGAGCACCACAAGGGGACGTCAAGGGGTGCATCAAGGGGGGGCGTCAAGAGGGTGCCTCGAGGGGGGGGGCGTCAAAGGAGAGCACGAAGTGGGGCGGTTACAGCGCGCGGTTGAAGCGCGCAGAGTGGTTGCACCCTTGGACGCCCGTTCCCGGGCGCCTGCAGACCTGACCCCTCGGCGGCACAAAAAATCCCAAGTCCACCCCACCCCACGCGGAACACCGCCCTCCGACAACGACGACAGCGACGACGACGACGACAGCGACGAGCCCCCGCCCCGCGACAGGCGCGCGCTGCCGAGGCGCTGGCCAAGTGCGCGCGCGTCCCCTGGTCCCGCGGCCCGAAGGGCGGCTCGGGGCTCAGCGGCCCGCCGCCGTCGAGGATCGATCGGCGCGACGCGACGCCGTCGGCGGCGGAAACGGCCTCGATCCTCGACGAGCCGAGCAGGGGATCGACTTCGATCCTCGATCCCTGATACTCGGCGGATCCTCGGTCCTCGGTCGAAAACGACCTCGATCCTCGATCCCTGATACTCGGCGGATAGGGGATCGACTACAGATGTTGTCAACTAGTTTTGAACATGTGTCTGTTATCTTTATCCGTTAGGGCTTCGCCCCCATGCCGCCGGCGCCCCTCTCTTAGAATGGGATTCGCCAGAGCTGTGTTGGGATGTCTGGACGCTGACGTGAAGCAATGGCGGGACTTCACGCGAGGGCCAATACCAACGTACTAGTGTTTATGGTTTCGGTGGCTTGACTATTGCGTACTTTACAAGGGTGTGTGGCTTCGGGGACGACAGTACGGTGTAAATTACGAATGCGTATGCCTTCGGGGACGCGGCGTTTGCTTAATTTACGGAGGGTTACGGCCTCGGGGGTGCAAGTATTATATCATTTGCGAGGGCTTGTAGCCTCGGGGACACAAGCATGGTGTAATGTACGACGGCTTATTGCCCTGGGACGTGAATACTGTATATTGTTCAATTGGTGTATGGTTTCGGGGCGCGAATATTATATCATTTACGTGGGTGTATGGCTTTGGGGGCGCGAAAATTGTGTGATTTACCAAGGGGTATGATTTCGGGGACGCGAGTATGGCGTAATGTATGAGGGATTATGGGTTCGGGTGCGCTAAATTACAAAATTGCATGGCATCGCGGACGCGAATATGATGTAATCCACATGGGATTATGGCCTCGGGGACGCGAATGTAGTTTATTTTTGCGTGCCCCACGCCCCCCATGAATTCAAACAATGCGATCTGGGCGTGGTAAAAATAACTGGTTTAGGGGCTCCCCCCCTCGCGCGTTCAGCAAAAATGAACAGTAAGGAAGCAGACAACAGGACCGTAACAGTTGAAACTGGAAGCTGCAACTGGAACAGGGAGCTGCAATCCTCACCCGTCCTCGCAGCCTGGTGGCCCCGCAAGGGGGCCGGTGGGTTTTTCGTCCAACACCCACCTGTAAGAGGACATGCCCGACCTATCCCTACCCGTACCCGTATCACCATTGTCTCCCAGAGTCTCCCAGTGCCTCTCAATGTTTTCTGTTGTCTCGTACTGTTTATCTCTCCCCCTAAACATGCACTCATCCCTCGGCCTCTACCCCTTCCTCTTCATCCCTTTTTCCTAGATCCCCAGCCCTGTATCCCTGCCCCAAACCCCCTATCCATGAAACCGATCCTCTGACCGTGGCCCCCCATAGTGACCCCCCGCGCAGTCGTTCTGTTGGTTTGGCATCTTGGGCCGGGCCCGAGGGCCCAATGGGCTGCCAAGGTCGCCCAAGAACGGTTCTTTGCGGCTTCGGGGGGGTTGTAGAGCCAAGAAGCGGCACCCTTCCCAATTCCACAGTACAAAGGGGTGGTCTGATTTGGTGGAGGTCTGATTGGAGCTGACTTGGAGGGTTCCAGGGCGGTCTGAGCAAACGTCCGCCCTTTCGTGGCCAGTCTGGTTGGAGTCTAAATTGGCTCGTCTGGGGGGGGGGGGGAACCCCTCCCTTTTTGTTCACGAAACCTGGAGCAAACAAAAGCAAGGGCCCGACACACGCACACGCACACGAACACTCTTTCGAGCGTCAGCAGTCAGGCGACTCGCCGTGCCGTCAACCCACGCACGCCGGGCGCGCGCGGACAAGCAGTCGGCCCCTTCCCAGGGCGGTGGCAGGGCACACACGCACAAACACACACACACACACACATCGGCGGCGAGCGAGGGAAGAGGGGGTCAGAAGGACAAGGCCTTTTCAGTAGGCTCGGAAGTCCCCCGTCCTTCTGAGCAGTTTCCTGAGCCTTCCCCGAAGACATAGACAACTTCTCTGAAGGCGCGAGGGCTTCTGAGCAGTCCCGCCGCCTGCTGAGAAGGCCCTCTCCTCATCTCCCCCCCCCTCGCTCGCCGCCGATCTGTCGAGGGTCGGCAGTCCGGCGACTCGCCGTGTCGTCCACCCACGCACGCCCGGCGCGCGCGCGCTGCAAGGAGTCGGCCCCCTTTCACGGGGCAGGGCAGCAGCCCGGGCCGACGGGGGGCCTCCCACGACCTCCACCTCCTCGTTCCTCCTCCTGCTTTTGACGTGGATCGGACTTCGAGCTCGGGGCTGGCAGCGCTCGTGGAGCTCGAATGCAGGAAAACATGGGGACTAGGAAAATGAGATAAGCGTGTCTCCTCCTCCTCCTCCTCCTCGATTCCCTTCTCATCCTCTCCTCCTCCTCTTCCTCCTCCTCCTCCTCCTACTCCTCCTACTCCTGTTATTCCTTCTTCTCTTCTTCCTCCTCCTCCTCCACACCCACACTTTTTGGCGTCGCGTCTTGCTAGCTCCGGCCTTGGGCAGGGTCGGGCTGAGCTCGCAGGGCTGACGGGGCAGCGAGAGGGCGTAGAAGGGTCAGAGAGGCGGGCGCGCACGCTCGTCTAAAGGCCGAGCCCTCAGCTCGGAACACACACACACATGCCAACCGCTGCAAGCCAGGTGGTGGATACTTGTGGACATTGGAAGACAGATTGGTACACAGAAGCATCGAGAGATCAAGAAGGAGCGCTCGAACGATCAATAGAGAGAGGGACAGAGAGAGCACGCAGCACATGTACGCACGCACCTACATGTCATACATATGTGTTTACATGTACCCGGCACATACCAGCATAGAGAGCCCGACCAATAGAGCGCGAGGGAGGGACCAACAGCATTGATGCACATGCATGCACGTATTGGTATATGTGTGCGCACGTGTACCCAACGACATGTGCATCAAACTCACACACCAACATTGCTCACATATAATTTTCAAGCCAGGTACAGACGTGTATTATATATACGTATACAAAGAGAGGTAGGAAAGGGGGGAAAGAGAGAGAGAGAGGGGGAGAGAGAGAGAGAGAGAGAGAGGCGAGAGAGACGAAGAGACAGAACGAGAGAGAGAGAGAGAGAGAAACGGACAGATAGGGAGAGAGTGTCAGGTGGGCGGCATCTGCCGCAGGGCGCGCGCCCGCCGCAGCCGCTCAGGCGACGAGGGAGAGTGCGCCCTCTGCCTGGAGGAGTACAAGGAGGGAGAGGAGGTGCTGAAGCTCGGGGAGTGCGGGCACTTGTTCCACGAGGCCCGAGGAGGAGGGAAAGGGTGTTGTCTGCCCGTCACCCCCCGTCCAGGTCACCCCCATCACCACCCGCCAAAGCTGGTTGAGGCGGGGGCCAATGCAAACAGGGGTCAGCCAGAGCGCAGAGCAGAGATATTGCAGGAGCCTGCAAAGCCAGGGTGACGTTGACCCCTGTTAGCCCGCAGGATCTTGCAGGATCCTGCAAATCCTGACTGGCCCAGGTTTGAGATGACAAGGGTCAGTAGAAGCCTGTTGTGGGAGGGGTCCCAGACCCCCTCGCATCATGAAACAATCATGGCACACGGTGTTGGGCTGTTTCTGGGCTTCGGGGGCCCTCGAAGGGCCCCCCGATTATTAATGAATCACTCTGGGTGAAAAACAGGGCGCCCATGTCAGGAAAAATCATGACGTCGGGGGTCTGGGGAGGGGGGGAGGAGGTCGCCGACGACGACGGCGACGTGGAGCAGGAGGAAAACGAGGAGGAGGAGGAGGAGGAATAGGATAATGACAACGAGCAGTAGGAGGAGGAGGAGGAGAAACGCGAGTAACACAGGGGGCCGAGGCGACAGCGGTGAGCGGTGTCAAACCACGAGTGCGAAGCCTGTGCTCCGGCTTTGTGGCACGGTTGAGTAGCCTGTATTAATACAGCAAGTCACCCACAAACACACACACACACATACATAAATGTGTTTATAGTACGTGTAATTGTGTATATAAGTGTGCGCATGCATACATGCATACATGCATGTGTGTACGTATGCATGTGTATGCATGTATGTATGAACGTGTGCTTTTGTTAAACGACAGTATATGTCTATGTATGGATGTGTAAGTATGCTTGCATGTGTATATGCACGCATGCATGTATGAATGTATGTATGTGCATGTCTATGTGTGTATAGAAATATGTGGGCATGCATGTGTATGTGTGTCTATGTATGTATGTGAGTATGTGTGTACGTGTGTATGTATGTGTGTATGTATGCATGTATGTATGGGCCCATCTATATGTGTGTGGACAGGTCCCAATATAACTATATCCCAAGGATGGTGTAAATGTTATGGTTCTTACCGCGCCGACGCATCCTCACAGCTCACCTTTTCTCCTCCACCTCTCTCTTTCGTCTGCTGATGAGGAGGATGAGGATGATGACACGAACGACGAATCGTGATGACGATACTGACGATGAAGATGGCAATGATGATGAGTATGATGGTGATGCCGATAAGGATGCCGTTGATGATGTTGATGATGATGATGGTGATACTGATGCTGATGATGACGATGATTATGATGTTACTGATGATGGTGCTGCGCATGATGATGATGGTGATGATGGTGATGATGGTGATGATGGTGATGGTGATGATAATGATGATGGTAATGATGATGCGAATGGTTATGTTGATGATGATACTAATGATGATGATGGTGATGATGATGATGACGATTATGATGATGATGGTGATGATGATGATGACGATGATGATGATGATGATGATGATGATGATGATGAGCAGGATGACCCCAGGGGGTGCAGATTGCGAGGATGGCTCGAGCGGTGTGCCTGTTTTGGTGGTCACACTCGTCTGCGTTCAGAGCAGAGCCTGAGGACTTCTCGGGCGAGGCGCTGGCTTCAGCACACCCGAGGGGGGAGCCGCCAGGGTGTAGCTCACTCCCCCGGTCGCGCCCAGATTGCGGGGATGGCTCGAGCGGTGTGCCCGTCTGCGGCCATCGTATCCCCCGCTGTCGGAGCAGAGTCTGAGGATGCCGTTGGCAAGGCGCGGGGGGGATGATGATGATGATGATGATGATGATGATGATGATGATGATGATGATGATGATGATGATGATGATGATGCTGATGCTGATGCTGATGCTGATGCTGATGCTGATGCTGATGCTGATGCTGATGCTGATGATGATGATGATGATGATGACGACGGAGCAAGAAGGAGGAGGGGGAGGAGGATCAGACTGTCAAGTATGATGACGGTGATGGTGATGACGATGATGATGATGATGATGATGACGAGGATGATGATGATGACGATGATGACGATGATGATGATGATGAGGAGGAGGAGGAAGAGGAGGAGGAAGAGGATGAGGAGGAGGACGACGGAGCAGAATTCGAGGATGTCTCGCGCGAGGTGCTGGTGTCAGCACCAAAAAACGGGGGCAGCCAGGGGGTATCTCATTCCTCCGTTCGCGCCGAGATTCTGGGATGTCTCGAGCGGTTTGCTTGTGTTCACGCCAAACATCCTCCGATGTGGGCGCACATTTTGAGGATGGGTCGGGCGAGGCGCCTTTGTTCGCACACACCCAGGGAGGGGCGGCGCCAGGGGGGTATCTCCCCCCCCCTGTTCGGGTCCAGATTGTGGGGATGCTTCAGGCGGTCTACCTGGTAGCATGGCCAACATCATCCGCTTTCGGGGGAGATGTTGAGGATGTCTCGGGCGAGGCGCTGGTTGTCGTTGTGGTGGCCAGACTCGCTTGCGTCCAGAGCAGAGTTTGAGGATGCCGCGGGCGAGGCGCTGGCTTCTGCACCCCCACGGGGGGAACGGGGGGCCATGGGGGCATCTCATTCAGTTCGCGCCCAGATTGTGGGGATGTCTCAAAAGGCTTGCCCGTTGACCGACCCAGAATCCGGTGTGTTCGGGCAGATGTTGAGGATGTCGCGGGTGAGGTGTGGGCGTCCGCACCCCAGGGGTGACCAGATTGCGAGGATTTCTCGAGTGGATTGTTGGTTTAGTGGCCAGGCCCGTCTGCGCCCAGGTCGAACCAGTGGTGTTTTACATATGTCGCTATAGTTTGCACCTCCCTTGTGGCGCCTGTGTCTTCCTATGGGCTGCCCCCCCCCCAAGGAGGCTCCAGGAGGCATGAGGAAGCGCCAGGAGGTTCCATGAGGCCCCGCCAGGGCGCCCCAGGAGGCGCCAAGAGGCCCTGGGGAGCCCCAGGAGACCACAAGAGTAGCGCCAACCTTGTGTGTTTAACGTGTGCTCCTATAGGGTGAACGTCCCTTGGTGCGTGAATCCTTTGTGGTTGTTGTATGGCTTGCCATTCCCCTGTGGCCTCAATTCTATATGTGTCCACATGTTCTCACAGGTGGGGCCTCTCCTGGAGCACAAATGATTGGTGGTTCACGTATTGATGTATCTGTGTTTACACAAATATTCATATATATATATGTGTATGTATGTATGTATGTATGTATGTATGTATGTATGTATGTATGTATGGATGTATGGATGTATGTATGTATGTATGTATGTATGTATGTATGTATATATGTATGTATGTATGTATGTATGTATGTATGTATGTATGTATGTATGTATGTATGTGTGTGTGTATGTATGTATGTATGTATGTATGTATGTATGTGTGTATGTATGTATGTATGTATATATGTATGTATGCATGCATGCATGTATGTATGTATGTATGTATGTATGTACTGTATGTACTGTATGTACTGTATGTATGTATGTATGTGTGTACGTACGTACGTACGTACGTACGCATGTATGTATGTATGTATGTATGTATGTATGTATGTATGTATGTATGTATGTATGTATGTATGTATGTATACATGTGTGTGCCCCATGCCTACGGTAATACACATACATATAAAGAGAGGGATTATGCCCTTTCCTGTGGTTCCAGTCCGAAGTGTATTACGTATGTTCCTGTAGACTCAACTCCGTGGAGTGGCCGGCTGCATTACGATCCAGCCATTGCGCGAGATCTATTGGGCCAGCCATCGTAGCGCAGAGATTTCGCACGGCGCTTGCATGAGCACCCTTTACCCTTTGCATCCTGGTGGAAGGAGGGGTCGCGTAGCCATTTCGATTAAGTTGCGCCCATTCATGAGCAGGCCACTGGCGCGCAGATACACCCATCCTAAGCTTAGACATACTCAGACTCATGCGCATTGACTCACTCGCGCGACTGAGACCCATTCACACCCCAGATGGGATGAGGATGAGGAGATGGGGAGGGAGGTTGGGGGGAGGTCGAGAAGTCAGGGGAACAGGAGGAGGATTGGGAGCAGAAGGAATGAGGAGGAGGAGGAGGAGGATTGGGAGGAGGAGGAGGAGGAGGAGGAGGAGGGGCAACATCAGGAGGAGGAGGAGGAGGAGGTGGAGGTGGGGGAAGAGTGAGAAGGAGAAGGAGGAGGAGAAGGAGGAGGAGGAGGAGGTGGAGGAGGAGCGGAGTGAGGAGGAGTGGGGAGGGGGAGGAACGATGGGGAATGAGGAGGAGGAGTGGGGCAATCAGAAGGAGTGCCCCCCCTCCCCATCGCCGGCTCAGGAGTGCATCGGGCCCTGGTTCCACAAGGCCCCGACCTGCCCCTTGTGCCAGCAGCAGGTGTGAAGCGCCGTGCCCGGCCCCCCCGCGCGCCGCCCGCCCGAAGGAGGGCAAGGCCAAGGAGGGAGGGAGGGAGGAGAAGGAGGAGGGGTTTGCGTAAGCCTCCCAGGTGGGGTCCGAATAGATTGGGCCCACGCTGCATCGCGGATGCATCGCCGATGCGGCTCGATGTGGAGCCCGACTCTCTTCACGCTGGCGTCGCCGATGCATCGCCGATGACGCCGATGCATCGCCGATGTATCGGCGATGCATTGGCGATGCGGCACGATTCTCGGACCCCATCTACTCGGATACCATCTTGGAGGCCTCTATGCATGGGACTTGCGGTTGGGACTCCGGCTCCGAGGCCGCTTTCACACCCTGGAAAGTGGACGGCAACCGCCCCGCTGCGCATACGGCAGCCATGCCAGGGGCGCCGGACGTCACCGCAGTGTGGTCCGTCTTCCCTCCTGGGGGAGGAAGAGGAGGAAGGGGAAGGGATGAGGAAGAAGAATTCGTTGGAATTACCTGCTAACCACGCCGTGGCGAGAGAAGGGGAGAGGGGGTCCGCAGGGGGCCAAAGCTAGAACTGACCAGCCCTGGACCCCCCGACCGCGTTGCGGTCCAAATCGTACGCCCCCGAGGGGAACAGGGAGCGGCCGTCCACCTCGAGGCTGCGCAGCCCTCGTCGCATCACGGATTTCACCTGTAGCATTCCCCGCACGCCGTGTACCTGCGTTCGCGGCACCAGATCGCCGGCGAGCTTCTGGGATAGACCCGCCTGCTGAATTCGCATGCGTGGGCGAACTTCGGCCTGCGGATCTCGACCTGCAGATGATTTTGAGGCACCAGGCTGGGCCCTCCAGGTCGCCCCGCGCGGCTGTCTCCATGAACGCAAGACCGATCTTCGCGACCTCCATGCACGTCGGGCCCTCGACCTGTTCGTCTGGACCCGCAGCTGCGTCGCTGGTCTCGGATTCTACCTTCTCGTCCTGCGCAGGCTGCTGGGCGGTCGATGATCCAATAATGTACGCCTTCGGCACATGCGTGCGGAGTGCCCGCGAACGCAATATTTACGGGTTCGTTCGGGTTTGCTTCGCTATCCACGGCGCCCGCCGTTTTCCCGAACGCACCCCTCACATCTGCCTGCAAGTCCGTCGCCGCCGCGCAGCGCCCATCTTCAGAGATCACTTGTTGATGTGGGATGGGGTGGGGCCCTACAGCACGAAGCTGAACAGCTTGCACTTCGGCAGCCGCCTCGCCACCTGGCTTGTCTGCAGGAGCGCGATGCACCTTCAGCGCCTTCAACAGCGCGTCAATGTCTGCCCCAAGCCGCAAAGGATGCTGACCCGCACTCGGCACAACTGTGGCGCCGCCAGCCATCAACAGTTTTGGCTCCCTCCTGCAAAGCTGACCGCCCACTTCCAAGCGGGACGCAACCCGATCCAGCAGCCTTGGCCTTGGGTTCCGCGACGCAGCTGTTCACGGTGATGTGCCATCCGCCCAATTCCAAGCCGTCGATTGCGCACACGGCGGGGGCGTCGTTAAGGAACGTGCCCAGGAGGCTTCAGACCCTGGAGGATTCCTTATCTGATGAGGGCGGCGGTGATATCCATGGCCAATTCACGATTTGAGTCCCACTGGCTTCCAGACCCTGGATTCCTTATCGAAGGTTTCTTTACCCAATGCCCCCACCGTAGCGCCATCTCGGCTCTGGCCGCCGCCGGGCGTGCGGCCTGCGAGTCCGCGCCGGGCGGCCGCCGGGCGTACGGCCTGCGAGTCCGCGCCGGACGGCCTCGCGGGCGCTGCCTCCCCGCGGGCCCTCCCCCCCCCTTTTCCGCGGCGCCCCCCCTCCGCGGCCGGGGATGTCGGCCCCGCCCTGGCTAGCCACCGGGGCGCCTGCGCGCGAGCGGCCCAGGGCGCCTTCCGGCACCTGTGGAGCCGCCCCACGCGCGTGGGCACGGCGATGGCGGAGGCGCTCGGCGCGGCGGCGGTCCCTCGTGCTTGCGCTGCCCCGCCGCCCGGTGCGGCTGCTCCTCCTGAAGCTGGACTTGGCGACGTTCGGCACGCAGGAAGTGGTGCACGTGGCGGAGCTCCAGGTGCTGCGGCGGCCGGCGCTGCTGGCTTGGAGGCGGGCGGCCAGGCGGCGGCGCCTTCGGCGCCATGGGGTGCTCCCGAGGGTCTCTCCCTCACCAGCTCGGCCGCGCGGCGCGGGCTCATAGGCAGCGGCGGCGGCGGCGGCTGCCGAGATCCCGAGGCGCGGCCTGGCGCGCTCCCTGGTTCCCGCGCCCAGGGGGAGCAGGCGGGAGGCCCCGCCGTCGGTGGCCTTCGGAGGAGGCGTGCCCGTCTTCCCCCTCGGCGCGGACCAGGAGCCGGCCGCTGGCCCTGCCAGCGTCGTCGGGCAGGCTCCTGCTGGGCCCCCGACGGCTTCACCCGATGGCGAGAGCGTGTGCAAGGTGCGGCTCGCCCTCCGCGGCCTGGTGGCAGCTCTCGGCCTGGAGCGTGTCAACGGGCAGGGCACATCGGCTCTGCACCTCAGCGGCGCTCCCTCTCAGGCTTCTGGAGTTGTTGGATGTTGCTGACGCCCTGGAGACGGCGCAGCAGTTGGTGCTGTTCAACGTCCACGGCCCCCCCGCCGACCGCTGGATTCTGAACGTCGCCCGCTCCCTTGGCCTGTCGGAGGCGGCTGTGGCGCACGTTGCGATGTGAGCCGTCGGCGGTGCTGCACGTCTCGTGCGTAATCTGCGCCGCGGCTTCGGTTGAATGTTTGCATGCACGGGCTTGCCCTCGAAGACAGAAAAAAACGCCCCTACCGTATTATACCCGCGGCAACCCCGAGCCGAGATCCTTTCGGCGCTTGCCGCAGGGTGACCTCTTGGGCGCCGTCGCGCCGCAGCCGCTGCAGCGCCGTCGGGCTGTTGCCCGCCGGCAGGGAGGCCAGCGCCGGCCGCCGGGCGGCCCGCGAGGCCGTCGCGCTCGGCCACTTCCTCCTACTCCTCCTCCTTCTCCTCATCCTCCTCATCATCCTCCTCCTCTACCCCCTCCTCCTCCTCC